TAAGAGATTTACTATACGACTGAAGTTCAAAGGGACACGAGTGCGGTATCATTCGGGACCATTCGGGACAGTGCCCGGTCCAATACTTAGAGAATATTGGACCGGCAATAGAGCATTTTGATTGGTTGATTTTAGTTATTGGCCCTCTGACTGCCCGAGTCGTGTAATAAATGGCATGATTACAGTACTGTACTGGGTACAGGATAATGGGCTTCTGGGAACATTGCTGGACCATTTTGTGTCTGTTGAGGAATGCAATGTCGGAAGGATAGCTTTTTGTCTAAATGGATATGTTCACCGCAAAAAAATTCTTACCTTGCTACGTTCCTGTAAATTTATCAAAAATACTACAGAAATAACCGATTTGCACAAGGATAACCCTGCTCAAAAATAGTCAATACAAATAAAAATCATAATGAATGTTTACCGATTTCCGTCTTCCAGGAGCTGACAGGATACAGCGAAAATAATGACCAGTACTTTGAGGCAGCTGAGACCGCAGACTCTCTCAAAAGATTTGAAACTCATTACAATGCTAAGTGAGTGTACGTTTGACTCACGTGAACTGACACGTTTTGCCTCTAAGGAAAGACTGTGCGATCTTAGGATTTAACCCATTCCGCTTTCAGATCGCAGAAGTAATACTACTTACTCTGTGCCATACATTTATGATTTTAGTTTGCAGAATTTGGTGTTGAATCAGCCCCTAATTGAAAATTTTCTTTATTCTCATCATTTGTCTGCTTGGCGTTGTACTGAAAGTGTAAGGAGAATTTCTGTCTTGGTCACTCATGGGAGTTAATTTAAGGTTTAAGGGTGTATGTGGAAGGGTGCCGAGGTTCAGGAATGTATGCATGAATAACTCATAGGCCTTAAAAAAGTATATAAAAGGAAAAATAGAAGAGAAAATAAAAAGGGTTTCCTAAAAGAACTAATAAATTGTTAACTTGAATGTTTGTAAAATGTATAGATTTCTGTCCATTTCTGAGGATGTCCTTCTCTTACGAACGTTTAGGCCAATTTTACAATAAAAGGGCCCTATCACTAGCTTACAACTGAGATTCAAAGACGTACTAGATTATTTCATCATAAAGAATTATCCTTTATTTACAAACGGTCTGTGGTGCACATGCACCAAGACACTCCCTTCCCTTCACCGTGCCCTTTCAAGTTACTTTCATCTCGGCTATATCCTTCATACATAGCACGAAATTGGCAAATCACCACGTATATCCTCATTCATTTTATTTTAACAACGGTTTGTTTTAACAACGGTTTATTTTAACAACGGTTTATTTTAAGCCTCTGATCCATTTTTATACCGCTCTCTCTAAGGCATTATGACATGAACCCACGGGGCGTGGACCGCTTTGGAACAACTGACGGCAACGTTATGACTCAGCTACCAAACGGCTTCACCAAAGGAACCAGCGTTCATACACTGGGACCTGATATTAACACTACAGCTGAGCTCCGCTGGCACAAGCCCTATGTTTCTAGGTATCTTCAATTTTAAGTACTCTATTTCGTAGTCTAACGTTACCTGTACATGTAGCAATGCAGTGCAAGCAGGTCTTCACTCCAGATAAACTTCTAACGGCTTATGCCCCAATGCTCGAGCAAGTGACCGTGAATATATGAAAACCATATACGTGAACTGCGGGTTGAGAAATGAATATCAAAGCCATCTTCACAGTTATTACCATTACTTGAGCAGTAGAGAAAATAAGGGTGCTGGGAGCTGTTGGCTTGTTAGCTCAGTTGGTAGAGCACTGCACCGGTATCGCAGGGGTGATGAGTTCAAATCTTGTACAGGCCTGAATTTCTTTCAGGCCTTATTTTCACTATTGCTCAAGTAGTGTTCATTGTTGGGAAGATCGCTTTGATAATGAATACTCGTCTACTTACGGCGGGTTTACTTCCTTTGATCCGAAAGCACGTTTTATTCCCCTACCGAGACTTATCAAATGAGGAGAAAAGATGGTGATGAGAAGAAAATTGTGTCAATGGTTCCGATCTAGTTCTGACAAACATCTTTGATTGTCATTTCACTGTTTTCTATTTTTTAGGAGCATTAAGGCCAGAGATCCCTTTTACGACGACCATAAGCATGACGCAAAGTTGCGTACTTCTGTGCCAATAACTGCTTGATGGGTTGAACCGATCGTTCGACTAGACTTTATTGCCAACAAGATTGAAGTTACGAAGAAATCTCGTCAAAATTTTTTTCTTTTAGTTTAATTTGGATAATGTGTGGCATTTTATATGTATTGTAGGTCGAACATCAGTGTTTGTTGATTGTATATTGAAGAAAGATTGGTTCAGAGATGTTCGCTCTAGTTCTACATCCCCTTTCATCGGAAACACATGCTTTTGGACAAAAAGTCTGATATCAGTCTATAGCATTGCGTTATGTTATAGGGGTAAAGAACGAATATCTCTCAAAGCCACTTTCTATTATACAATGCCAAGTTCAAAACTAGAACACTATAATTTTTTCCGATTTTTTTTTGCTAAGGACTAAACCCAAGACGATTGAATGGAGACATTTCCAAAGTCACTGGAGATATGAGAGCACATAATTTAACAATCCTCAGAATTAAGTGCATAAAAAAAGTCTTTTCCTCTATCGGTCAAGAGTAGCAACTTTCTTAATCTTAAAACTAGAAATAAAGACAACATGAATTTAACTCCTTTCTTTATCTTGGATTCTTTACACTGATCTTTCTGTCTTGTCAGAGGACAGCAGTTACCCTTCCTTTACATTCCGAGAGTAATCCCAAGAGGTGCCAAACGCTGCAGCCGTTGGATTCAACGAGAGATTAGATACAATCAAACATAAATTGTTGCTTAGTTTTTTGTTGTTTCTGTTACTGTTACTGGTTGACTTAAAAATGCCCTACAAAAATGAATAAATCACTTTTGCGGAATAAAGTTGGTCACAGGAACGATTTCCATGTTTTATCTTCTTTCAAGTCATAATTTTCTTTTATTCACACAAAACAGAGTCAGCGGCACTAAACCAGCCACATGTGTCACGATACCAGCCGTAAAGAATGCCCAGGTGTAGCAATCAGTCATATCAACAAGGAATCCTGAAAAATAAGATAAACGGGGCTATTTACAGACAAAAACATATTACTTTTATAAAATTCAACTTGTATAAGTGCTGGAAGTCAGTCTTAATTCTCTTGCAACAAACTGACAAAAGAACAATCGCATGCATGTCAACTGCACAGTAAAGCGTTTTAACTTAAAAGGGAATGGTTAGTCCTTTAAAAAAAAAAAAAAAACAAACGAGCAAACTTTCAGACAATGAGTGCTGCCTCAACAACCTAACCGAGCGACAAGGTTGGGTCTCGAAAAAATTACTTTGTTGATTTATTAATGTCAGGACTACCCTTACACGGACGATCGCATTCGTCTGTTGTCTGAAAGTGGCTGTCAGATGCACTTTTAGTTCATTAATATCGATTGAAGAGGCCTAGGGGCGACAACAACTAACTCCAGTATCTGCTCACCTGCAAAGGGAGATCCTGACGCTAATACCAACGAAATTAAAGTATTCCCCTGACCAAACCCGGCCGCTCTGCGCTTTTCGTCCACACTGAACATGAGAAGTGAGTTCATCGTCGAGATCAAAACACCATCAGCAATACCATAAATCACAGCAAAAACTTGAATTCCTGTGTAATTTCTCACTACTGGAAGCACGACGAGTGCAAATCCATCGAGTAAAGCTCCAAACTGGTAAATATATGTGGTGTTAACCCAGGTGAAGTCGCAGATCCTCCCTGTTACAGCACGAGATACAGAGGATGATAAACCAAAAGGAATGAAAAACCTAGATGCTGAGTCAGCAGAAATGCCAAGCTCAATGCAATAGTTCACGTGCGTATAGAACAGACAAACAAGTTACTGAGTATGCGTGATACAAAATGATAAGTCCCGAAGAGGATGCCCGTTAGGGAATAAAATATACTGCCTTCTTTTATTCTCAGTGCTTGGTTTCCTGGTAGAGCTCATGTTGCTATGCAACGGGCGGTGCTGGAGGAGGACGGCTGATGCCGAGAGGATAGTAGTAGTGTGGCCTTGAAACCCGCCCTACACGTTTCAAAACGCCCCATCGCCTCAAGTAAAACATTTCCTTACGAGAACCGACTTACCATATGTATATGTGGGATGAAATGTCCAAAGTTCATGAAACAAAGACTTAAAACCGCAAACGTATATGATGGGATTTTAAATACGGAAAAGTCCAACAGTGTGTTCGATTTTCTATTCGAGTTTGATACCATACTGCCCTCCGTATTGGCTGCCACCTCGAAAGATATCATTTGGTTAGTTCTTTGGGTTTTTGTTAGACAATCATCTGGAAATTCTTCATTCAAAGAAAGGAACTCTGGGTCACTTTGGCTTTCTACGTGATGATGCGAAGTGGTCTCTGAAGCATCCTGAATAGGTTCCACAAAGGCCACCCCAGAAACAAATGCCATCAGAAAGAACGGTATGCTCACGATCCTGTAAGTTACTCTCCAACCAAATGAGTCAATCAGAAGCTGTAATAAAGGGCCCATAATAAGAAGTCCACTGCTGCCCCCGATTGTAACGATCCCCACGGCGAGAGATTGCCATCTACGAAAGTTCTTTGCTGTTATCAGAAAGTACGACGAAAGCATCAATGCTGACCCTATGCCAAACACACAGCCATAACTTAAAAACATCCAATCGAGACGGGAAGAATATGGAGTCACTAACAAGCTCACTGCACAAAGCAGACAGCCAATAAAAGAGGTGAGGCGGCATCCTATGGTTTGGCACAAAAGTGATCCCAGAGGGCCAAAGAAAAAGGTCAAACCAACCGCCAGAGAACCGACCCACACTGAAATGTTAAAGCACAAAACATGAACATTCAATTGCGCTTTCATTAGTTAAGCATATCTGCAAATTCTTCGTCTCAGCAACTGATTCAACCTCGTTCCTAGTGTGCTTTTTCTGGCAAACGAGGTTGCAACTGATTGACAAATTAATCGTGTGGCACTCTTGGTATGCTATAGGAAAAGAGCAGTAAAGAGGATCTCAATGAGGGGGAATGACTTTTACGATACCTGTTAAAATTTTCGCCATTTTACGACTAGTACATGCAGCAAAAATGTCTTCGCATAACGATTTAAAGAATAGTTTTCACGGTTAACTTTTTCTTACGGCTAAAGGTTGTTGTTGTTGTTTTTAAAGCCCATCGAAAAGGATGAATATTGTCAAGAGATTGTATTGTCTTGATGTTGTGCAAGAGGCTCTCTTGCATGTTTTAACTTTCTTACCTCATTTAGCCTCAATTTTAAAATGCCGAACAAATTATTACAAGAAAGTTCAACCAATTAACTCAACGCCAGTAAAACTAAGCTGGGGACATTTTTTTCTTTAATTCATTTCATACTTTGTATTGCTGGCTGAACTGTTGCAAAGATTTCGTACGGACAGCTTTAAGACGGCAAAATTAAAAGAAGAACTAAAGGACACAATTGCACATGCACACAAAACTCGTCTATAGACCAGTTACAAAAGTAGTGTAAAAAATGAAATGAAATGAAACAAGTAAAAATAAAGGAAAGATTTCCATATAACCCCATACATTTATTCATGATTTATTATTAATTATGCATTCCATTTCATAAAGACTAAATATAAAGGTTTCTTTGCAACTATTTATGCATAATTAATGTAAGGAGTTGTATGAAAATCTTGCCAAAAATCAATTGACACTT